TCTTTTGGGTCACCATTATTCTGGAGGGATACCAATCTAGGTTAATTGTAATGAGCTGATCTGTACTTTTCTCTTAGCATCATGCAGTAATTGTCATGATTGGGTACTTTCATACACCCAGTGCTATCTCCCAGTTAGCTTTTTTTTTTAAAAAAAATGCAAACCTATATAACTCCTTTTTCTGGCCCTTGTTGAAATTCTACCAGGAGGAAGACGTACAGAAGGATCTTGGCTTGTGCAAACACAGCTCTGCATTTTGCCCTACCGCTGCGTATTTCTAACCAACGACCTAGGGGTGAGATTATTAAAGGCAACATGCAAATTAGTCCTGAGGCTTTTTTCTTCCTCTCTGAGGCTAATAAGAAAAGGGCAAGAATGCTTCCTTCAGGACCACAGCTGGTGAAAGGAGGATTAAACCACCCTTTACAGCCCCAATGAAAAACCAGACATTATTCATGTATTTATTTAACAGATTTCTAGACCACCAAACAGCCACAGCTTCCTGGTGGGTAAATGAATTCATTAAAAATAGACACACTAATATCAAACGTTATAAATAATAAAAGCAAGCAGTGTGAGAGAATTTTTTTTTAAAAAAGCCACAAGTACAGATCACAAATAAAGCAGATATAATAAAATGGGCAACAGAGAAAACATTTATTTGCTTAGCAATGGCTTCCAAATACTTTTGGGGAAATGGAGAAATCTTTACATGGGGCTAGAAACACCCCAATGTATAGCTGTCAGCATTCCAACTAATCAACTCCAAACCATTTAACTTCGAGACAAGCATTCCCTCAAAGTTCCATTTTATTAGAGTTGTCATATTGGCACATCTGGGGAAAATCCGAATTTGAGAGTTCCAGGTTTTCCCTTCACAAAAGAAAATCAAATCCCCTACACCCACCATCCATCACATCGCCCAATCAAACATAGTCCCAAACTGGAGCCATCCATCTAGACACTCCTCTCCAGGTGTAGGGAAGCTTGTCCTTGACTCTCTGAGAAAGAGTGTTATTGAGTCTAATCTTCCACCTCTCTATGAAATCCCCCCCTTCCCAAATTCCCAGGCCCTGAATGTGGAAACCTCCAAGCTTCCAAGGGAAATATGGCTTCCAAGGCTGACAATATTAAGGGTCAAGTGAGCCTTTTGGGAGCAGGTACTCCCCGAATAGGCCAACCCCATCACAAAGCTCCTTTTTCATGGGGAAATTCACCTTGCCTTGCTAGAGATAGAACTTGAAGAAAGTACTTTCTCCACTGAGATAAGAGCTAAGGATCATAGCTGTGTTTCTAACTGCTGTAATCCCTTGATTTATGACCACAAATGAGCCCAACACTTCCCTTGCTAAGCAAGAGTGAGTTTTGCCTCATTTTACGATCTTTCTTGCCACAGGGATTCATTGCAGTTATTAAAAAGTTAGTAACACATTTCATTAAGTGAACCAGACTTCCCCATTGACTTGGATTGTCAGAAGATAGAATAGATAGAATTCTTTGTTGGCCAAATCTGATTGGACACAAAAGGAATTTGTCTTGGTGTAAATGCTCTCAGTGTCCATAAAAGAAAAGATACATTCGTCAAGAGTCAAGACTCATCAGGTACAACACTTAATAACAGTCATAGGGTACAATAAGTGATCAAATCATATTAGGAAACAGTCAGTATAAATCATAAGGATACAAATGACAAAGTTATAGTCATACAGCCACAAGTGGGAGGGGATGGGTGATAAGAAGTGATGAGAAGGTTAACAGTAATAGTAGTACAGACTTTGTAAATAGTTTGACAGTGTTGAGGGAATTATTTGTTTAGCAGAGTGATGGCATTCAGGAAAAAACTGTTTTTGTGTTTAGTTGTTCTGGTGTACAATGCTCTGTAGCGTCATTTTGAGGAAAGGAGTTGAATCAGTTTATGTCCGGGATGTGAGGGGTCTGTAAATATTTTCATAGCCCTCTTTTGGACTCGTGCAGGATACAAGTCCTCAAAGGAAGGCAGGTTGGTAGCAATTGTTTTTTTTTTGCAGTCCTAATTACTCTCTGAAGTCTGTGTCTGTCTTGTTGGGTTGCAGAGCCAAACCAGAAGGTCGCAAAAGGGATTACATGACCCGGGGCACTGCAACCATCATAAACATGAACCAGTTGCCAAGTCTCTGAATTTTGATCATGTGACCATAGGGATGCTGCAATGATCATGTGAAAAACGGCCATGTTTTCATGCCGTTGCAACTTTGAATGGTCACTAAACAAACCAATGTAAGTCCAGGACTACCCGTATGCTGTCTTATATCATATATATCGAATGCAGAAAGTGGATTTTCAAACTTGTCTCTACCTCTGAGTTTCTTCCTCTTATCTTTTTTTTTTCAGTTGCTTTAGTCAATGTAAGCACATGTATACATTTATTCACTGGCTGCGTGGCTTCTTTCCATATTCCATATTTTATTCAACGGTCCATCCATCAATATTCTGACTCCATACTTCTACTGAGGCCGGAGAACTGCTCATAAAGAAGAAAATGCCATTCATTTTTCCACAACTGGTAGGAAGTTGCTCTGAAACCATTAAAATTAAATATAACCTTATTCAGTTTTTTCCTTATAGCCAGAAGCCAATTTAAACACACATATCTACAGCAACAAGAAACAACTCTGTTCTCCAAAATCAAGAAAGCAACATTCTTATTTAATCCTTCCCTGTATCACTGCTTTTACCAGACTGATTCCGGCTGCCAAAGTACACGGAGAACAATTATTTTGCTTTAAGAGATTGCCTACCGGTTGCATCATTTGGTTAGCCAAAGGTAACCTGGAAACTGATCCTCAACCTATTTGCTCCCCAGGTTGGAAACAAAATAGTCCAGAAGAAAAATAACTATCGTCCAAAACTTGAACACACTACAATAAAAAAATCATCTGGTGAACTGTGTCCTGTGTTCCACATTTCTCCCTAAATCCCATAATCCTGGTGTCACTGGATTCAGCAATGGGAAAATTATGGTTGCAAACCACACTCAGAGATCTTGCCAAGAGCACTGCTCTAAATTGTTGGTCCTGCATTTTTTACATTGTATGAATTTATCACGTTTGTTTATTGATTCGTTAATTTCATATGCCATCATATTCACACAAGACTCCCAACGGTATAAGTCATAATAATCAAAGAACCCACACACACATGAATACTCTAAAACCTTCCACGTACAATACAATGATAGCATAATCTAAATAATCTAGCCCACTATTATCATTCTTAGAAAGCAACTCTATCTTTATCCACTTTCAGAAAACCTCTAGATTAAGAAAAAAACCATTACTACCAACCTGGCTTTCATCGAGGACCTGTATATTGCATGAGTCAAAGAGGACTGTGAAAATATTTAGACCCCTCACATCCTGGACATAAACTGTCCCTCAAAACGACGCTATAGAGCCCGGCACACCAGAACAACTTGACACAGGAAGAGTTTCCCCCCGAATGCCATCACTCTGCTAAACAAATAATTCCCTCAACACTGTCCAACTATTTACAAAGTCTGCACTACTATTACTATTAATCTTCTCACCACTCCTTATCACCCATCCCCTCCCACTTGTGACCGTATGACTGTAACTTTGTCGCTTGTATCCTTACGATCTATATTGACTGTTTCCTAGTATGATTTGATTGCTTATTGTACCCTATGACTATCATTAAGTGTTGCACCTGATGATTCTTGACTCTTGACGAATGTATCTTTTCTTTTATGGACACTAAGAGCATTTGCACCAGAACGAATTCCTTGTGTGTCCAATCACACTTGACCAATAAAAGAATTGTCTTCTCCAAGCTCCAGGAAAACCAGGAGATCCAGACAGTTCAAATAGGTATAAAGATTTATTGCAAACTTACTAGCAATAAATGCTTGCTCTCTACAAGGACCTGAAGTACAGATAGTCCTTGACTCATGACCTCAATTCGGTGCAACATTTCTGTTGTTAGGTGAGACATTTGTTAAGTGAGTTTTGCCCCATTTTACAACCTTCCTTGCCACCATTGTTAAGTGAATCACTGTGGTTGATAAGTTAGTAACACGGTTGTAAAGTGAATCTGGCTTCCCCCATGGAGTTTGCTGACCAGAAGATCGCAAAAGCAGATCACGTGACCCTGGGGTACTGCCACTGTCATAAATATGAACCAGCTGCCAAACATCTGAATTTTGATCAAGTGACCATGGGGATGCTACAACAGTCTTAAGTGGGGAAAATGATCTTTGGAGAACAGGTTGACCCGCTCTTCTTTGGGGCAGCCCCTTAGAGAACACTGTTAACATGTCACCCCTAGTTCTTCTTATCATTAAATGAGATATACCCAATTCTTTAAAGGATTCTTCATATGTTTTAGCCTCCAGTCCCTTATTAACAGTTGTTGCTCTTCTCTGCACTCTTTTTTTTAGATTAACAGAGTTGGAAGGGACCTTGTAGGTCATCTAGTCCAACCCCCACCCAAGCAGGAGACCCAATACCATTTCTGACAAATGGCAGTCCGATCTCTTCTTGAAAGTCTCCAGTGATGAAGCTCCCACAACATCCAAAGGCAACTTCTGTTCCATGGGTTGATTGCTCTCACTGTCAGAAAATTTCTCCTTATTTACAGGTTAAATCTCTCTCTGGTCAGCTTCCATCCATTATTCCTTGTCTGGCCTTCAGGTGCTTTGGAAAATAGCTTGACACCACCACCCCTCCTCTCTGTGGCAGCCCCTCAAATATTGGAAGACTGCTATCATGTCTTCCCTGGTCCTTCTCTTCACTAGACTAGCTGTCTCAACATCTTTTTTACATCATGGCAACCAAGACTGGATGCGGTATTCCCTTATAAAGAGGTTTTAACACGTCACGTGAGCTGGATAATATCCCTCTGTTAATGCAGCCTAGGACATACAACTCCCATTATGTACAAGTGGCCCCCAACCAAGGGGTATCCCCAGTTCTACAAAGCATGCCGGGGGTTATCTGGTTTACCTTGGTTCCATCCACACTGATTATCCGATAGCTGTTCCTTGTGCCATCATAGAAGTAGGAAACCGTAACAGCTTGCTTGCTTGCAGGGACCCAGTTCTTCTTGGTGGTGGGGTCAATTTGGAAGACGTGTGCTCTGGTGGTGAAGATGGGCTGTTCTCTGGAAGAGGGAGGGACAGGAGAAATGGAATGCAGAATGAGTTTGTGACAGATGAAAATGTCTGCAGTCCAACGGTGGGATTCAATTTTTTTTTTTACTACCGGTTCTGTGGGCATGGCTTGGTGGGCATGGCAGGGGAAGGATACTGCAAAATCCCCATTCCCTCCCCACCCCGCTAACCTGCTTTCCAGCTCCATTCTCCTGTGCAGGGCAACCAAAGAAGACCCAGCCGATCAGGTGGGACTCAATGGGAGGCAGAGAATAGATGGAGGCAGGGCCATTCAGAGGTGGTATTTGCCGGTTCTCCAAACTACTCAAAATTCCCACTACCGGTTCTTCAAAAATAGTCAGAACCTGCTGAATACCCACCTCTACTGCAGTCCTACCCCCTGAACAAGGAATGTGGGTTACATCAAGCCTAAAATATGGGAGGGAGACAATGAAATAAAAACTCAGGAGTAAAAGCAAAAGAGCCAATGATTTAACAGATAGTCCTTGACTTAAGCTGTTCATTTAATGACTGCTCGAAGTCACAACAGTGCTGAAAAAGTGACTTATGACCATTTTTCACACCTATGGCCATTGCAGGATCACCATGGTCATGTGATTAAAATTCAGGCACTTGGCAACTGACTCATATTTGTGACAGTTGCAGTGCCCCCAGGGTCACGTGATATCCTTTTGCAACCTTCTGGCAAACAAAGTCAACAGATTCACTTAAGCTTGTTACTAACTTAACAACTGAAGATGTCTGTGGGGATTCTCTGTCCTCCAGGTCATGGTTTGTCCCAAAAGTGCTTTTTCAAGAGGCAACTGGACTTTCTGGTTTTTCTTTACAGACGTTTTGCTTCTCATCCAAGAAGCTTCTTCAGTTCTTCATCCAAGGAGCTTCTTGGATGAAAATCAGAACATCTTCAAAGAAAAAGAAGGAAGTCCAGTTGCCTCTTGAAAAAGCACCTTTGGGTTAACAACTGCAGTGATTCACTTAACGACGGTATCAAGAAAAGTCATAAATTGGAGCAAAAGCTACTTAACAAATGCCTCATTTAGCAACAGAAATTTTGGGGCTCAATTGTGGTCGTAAGTTGAGGACTACCTGCATTTTGAGTCATCATCAAAGACTTTGGTTCTGTGATGACCCAGGGTGGGATACAAAATAAACACAGTCACAAAAACAGGTGAAGCCCTTTTATTCCTTCACTTTGCTTCAAAGCTCCAAAGATATTTATCCTTGACAGGAGACAAAAAACTCCACCACAAGCAGTTATGAAAAGGAGAAAATGCCTGTAAATTATAAAGAGTAAAAACAACACAAACCACACTGAAGCAATTCAGGGAACCAGGCAAGATAAGGGCTTGAAGACGTCTACAGATATGGGAACACACACTGGGAAGGATGCCAAACTCAGAGAGGAACAACAGACTAGAGATATTTCCACTCTTTGTTTCCAGCACTGGCCCATACGCATGTCTGTCCTTTTAACCAGTTCTCACAGCTGCAGCCCATGAAGAGGATCAAGGCCCTTTCCTCCCACATAGACCACACCATTCACGTCTCTCCCTTCTCCCTGCGTGCCCTAGGGTGGAGAGGGGATGGGCCTGGGTCTTCCTCTGACTTCCCAGCCGGCCTCTGCCCTTCCTCAGCCTCCTCCACAACCTCCGGAGCCACACTTCCACTCCCTGTCAGCTGTTCCTCCTCTTGCTCAGAGTCAGTCTTCACCATGGGCATGACAAGTTCCTTCTAGGACATGCCCACACCTGAGACTCCTATGCTTCTGTATTTTTTTAAATATTTCCCACGAGATTAAGAAAAACCAAATGCCACAGACAAATATGTCACCTGTCTCTCTCTTATTTCAAACTCCCAGCTGTTTATGAATTCACAATTTCTTTGAACTGCAACTATCCTCCTTCTCCCTTACTTGTATAAGATTATCTTCGTTAATTTCTAAGGCTTACAATGAATGCAGCTTTGGTCTTCTCTTAGCTTTCACCATGCAAATAAGCTCACACATCCAGCTAGCCAAAGGTGGTGTTTTTTTGAAGTGTCTATCTTTAGAATCTGTCCAGTAAATACGTGGCACTGCCTGTACAGTACCATAAAACTCACTATATCACTCTACTGGGCATGTCACAACACCCAGCATCCATGCCCTCGTGAATTTTTGTACCGATCATTTCAGGACTCTGTACTACATGAGTATACATTTCAGGCTGCATCCCAAATTCCTGTTTGAGGATGCCAATGAGATCTTTTATGAAAATTGCATCGCTGTTTCTTATCTTAGAATAGAATAACAGAGTTGGGAGGGACCTTGGAGGTCTTCTAGTCCAACCCACTCTGCTCAGGCAGGAACCCTACAGCACTTCAGACAAATGGTTGTCCAATCTCTCTTAAAAACTTCCAGTGTTGGAGCATTTACAATCTCTGGAGGCAAGTTGTTCCACTGATTAATTATTCTAACTGTCAGTAAATTTCTCCTTAGTTCTACGTTTCTTCTCTCCTTGATTAGTTTCCATCAATTGCTTCTTGTTCTGCCCTCAGGTGTTTTGGAGAATAGCTTGACTCCCTCTTCTATGTGGCAGCCCCTCAAATATTGGAACACTGTCATCATGTCACCCCTAGTCCTTTTCATCAAACTAGACATACCCAGTTCTAGCAATCATTCTCTATATGTTTTAGCCTTCAGTCCCCTAATCATCTTTGTTGCTCTTCTCTGCACTCTTTCTAGAGTCTCAACATCTTTTTTTACACTGTGGTGACCAAAACTGGCTCGCAATATTCCAAGTGTGGCCTTACCAAGGCATTATAAAGTGGTATTGACACTTCCCGTGATCTTGATTCTATCCCTCTGTTTATGTAGCCTAGAACTGTGTTGGCTTTTTATCTTCTTACAGAAGGAAACTTTGAGACTTCCCAACCACAGAAATGATCAGCTTCACACATGCTTACTAAACCTGGATGGGGTGTTGATCAAACTAAAGAGGAAACTTTCATCTATCACCCTAAACAATAATGAACAATTTACATAAGACAGTACATTAAAAGGAAGCCATATTCTGCTTTTTTATATAGTGTGACCCAGGCCATCGTGAAAGCTACTGTCCCAGAGGGGGTATTCAGCAGGTTCTAGCCGGTTCTGGAGAACTGGTAGCGGAAATTTTGAGTAGTTCAGAGAAACGGCAAATGCCACCTCTGACTGCCCCAACCACCCAATCTATTCTCTGCCTCCCACTGAGTCCCAGCCGATCGGCTGGGCCTTTGGTTGCCCTGCACAGGAGAACGGAGCTGGAAAGCAGGTTAGTGGGGTGGGGAGGGAATGAGGATTTTGCGGTGTCCTTCCCCTGCCACGCCCACCAAACCACACCCACAGAACTGGTAGGAAATATTTTTGAATCCCACCACTGTACTCTCCCAATACACCAAAGCTTCAGGAATTCACTCTCCGTCACCCCAGAGTAGAAATAAGCTCTCTCAAATCTGCATAGGAAGGAGGGAGATAGGAAAATAAAATCTGAAGACAGTAGTTTAGGGTGAAAAAAAAATGAAAATTTTATTCCTTCACAGGGAGATATATAGCAAGCCTGACTGGAGCTCCAGACTTGTGGAGGAGACGCCTGGAGTCACAAATTCTCACTGGATGATTCCCTAAGCTAGACACATTTGTCAGCCTAAACTAAGTCATTGCGTGGTTGTTGGGGGGGGGGAAATGAAATAAAATGAGACTCGCAGAGTTCCTTCGAAGGATGGCAATGTAATAAATATGTCAAAAACATTTAGGATCAAAAAACATGAGGCTTCTACAACCGTTATTTTTCAGGCCCAACCATCTGAGAGACGGGAGGAATTCCAGAAGAGTTTAAGAAGCCCCAATTGCAAATACAGTACATCAACAAAATGATGCCCTCCCCAAATCTTTAGGAACACCCCATTAAAGTATCCAGAGTCCATGTGGCCCAAAAGATCTGGAGGCAACCCACGCCAAGCTCTTCCACCAAAGCTGCCACCGAATTACAATCTGGGGACAACTTTGGAATGTGTCGGAAGGAGGAGATTACTCCTAGAATAATTAACAGGATGTGTCCCTGTTAATGGCATTTAATTCATGTGATTTAATTCAATCTAAATGCAAATTAAACTACACCCCTGGCCCTTTCCCAGCACAATCCTTGGCAAACTTCTTTGGAGATAACTGGACCCTTGGCCCAAAAAGTTGTTGACTGCGGAACTATCTCAGACGACTCGCAGGCCTCTGCAGAGTTAAGCAAAACCAAACCATTTCGGAAGAAAGGGACATCTCTGTTTATTCGCCTCAGACATTTCTGGATAGGTAGCTGCAAAAGCAAAACGGAGACTGCAGGATGCCAAATTATGGCAAAGGCCAAACAAGCAGCCATTTTGCTAAAGGATGCGGTCATCCCTTCACCCCCATTTTCTCCTGTGGACCCCCAAGTTAGATTAGGAAGAGGAATCTACTGTACACCTTTCCTGTAGCCATCTTTTGCTCTTTTGTTTTTTTGTTTTTATTTACTCTGTCATCTGAATGAGGCCAGTTCCTGTGTTTGCACAATACACTAAACCAGGAACCGCCAAACTTAGCAACTTTAAGACATGTGGACTTCAAATCCCAGAAGTCTGTTATGAATTCAGGTAATGGCTGTTATGGCTGGGGAATTCGGGGGGTTGAAGTACACACATCTTAAAATTGCCAGGATTAGGCACCCTTGCACCAAACCATAAATGAATCCTATGGGACAGCTTCCCTCAACGGGCTAACCCTCCTTCCCCAAACTGACAAAGATTGAGGCTATCCAACCTCAGCATTTTGATAGACGTGCAGCTGCTAAATCTTTCAGTGGTCTGAGTAAACGGGTTGTATAAATGCAGACAAAGAGAAGTGTCAGAAAGATCTGATTGTCGTACCAAAGGGATCTGAAAGTAGTCAGCGTGACATCAAATGACAATGCGTGTAGCATGACATCATCCCACGAATGATGAT